GAATTTCAAACTGGTTAGGTAAAAAGCTGCCCAAAATAAGTGACTTAATAGTACTTTATTGGACCAACGTAAGACTACTCGATTCGAATTCTGTTCTGTCTGTATTCTCCATTGTGTTGGATCAGTGCTGCGATACCAGAGACGGAAATTTTTTGCCTTTGCAAAGTCGGAGACGGACATTTTTTAATTTGCCAAATCGGAAGTTCCAAAGAAAATATATATTTGTAATTTTTTTGACCAATTCGTCTACATTTTTAAGTCCTAGAGAAGAGATTTTATTTCTCAACTCTCTATTGATTCACCAAAGGTCTTCGACACCTGAGATGAGAATTTAAATCTCGCAAAGCACAAATGAATGAATGAAGAAATCATTCTTTGGTACTATTTTGGTCCATATTGGTCGTTCGCTTTTAGAAGACCCAGAAGAATTTATCTGCTTACAGAAATGCCTTCTATGTACAAAATACTAGAGCATCTTGTAGATATAGAGAACATATATAAGAACCGGTAAAAGGTCCTTTAACCTGTAAAAGGACCTGTAACTATAGGAAGTCTACCAAAGGTCTATCACATATAGAATACCTTTTAAAGGTCCTACATCTTTAAAAGCTCCGTTGAAAGTTCCCTATATATAGACGAACGTCTTCTATCTACTTTCATATGAACAAGCCTTGAAGAAGCCTATCTATAAGCCAAAACACTTCAATATCTTCCTTGTCAAATTTTTATAGAAGAAGATGCAGGGTGAGATAAAAAACTGCAACAAAGTCAAACGCCATAATTTTTAAATTTACAAAAAAAAAATATTGAATGAAAGCCAAAAATGTCGGAAATAGCATCAAATTTTAGAATAAATTTAGATTTGTTCGAATTGGTCACCTTTGGCACGAATTATGCCCTTCAAACGGCCAATGGAACCGTCACACGCTGCCCGAATGTTGCTCTGCGGTATTTTGGTCCATTCCCGGCGAAGCGCTTGCTTGAGGTGATCGACACTTCGGTATTTCTTAGTGCCAACCTTGCTTTCCAACATACTCCAGACACAATAGTCACACGCTACCCGAATGTTGCTCTGCGGCATTTTGGCCCATTCCCGGCGAAGCGCTTGTTTGAAGTGATCGACGCTTTGGTATTTTTTAGTGCCAACCTTGCTTTCCAACATACTCTAGACACAAAAGTCAAACGGATTGCTATCCGGAGATTTTGGTGGCCATTGTGCGCAGGAAATGGAAATGGCGCGTGCGCGGAATGTCCAAGGTCTGCAGCCAAAATGTTTGCGTGCCCAAGGCTTTAATACACCCTCCAGAATATTTCGCGATAATATTCGGCATTTATTCTGACGCCACGGTCGATTGATACGAGCGAAGAGCGACTATCGGCAGTTATGGCGGCCCCACCATCACCATGGCCGGCGCTTGAGTTCTGGTGGCCAACCGAAGGTGCACATTTTCAGCTGACCTCTTTGGCAATTAAACACGATCATTTTGTTTGTTTACAAACTGCTGGACAACGTATGTTTCCTCATCGGAGAAAACCGAATGCGACAGTTCACCACTTTCGGCCAAGCGAAGCAACTATTTAGCTATTTTGAGTCTATTTTCTTTCTGTTGCGGTGTAAGTTCTTGCCCTTTTTGCAGTTTCAATGGCTTTACCTCACCCCGAGCTAATTTTTCAATATTTGCCGAATGGAATATTGCGATATGTTCAGCTCACGAGCCATTTTTCGGCCACTGCGACGCGGGTTTCGGTCAAGTCGCTTCTTTACTTTTCGAACCATTTCTGCTGATGTTGCTGTTTTCTTCCGTCCACTTCCGTGACAACACAAAAGATTTATTCTCATTCATATGCTGGAATGCTCTAACGATAGCCACTTGTAGTTCTCCAGCCAAATATAAAGAAATCACACTATCACGCTTGAATTCCATCACGAATAAATTTTTTTCTGGAAAATTCTCACGAAAATGCTTTTGTTCGCTTGTAAACAATATAATAAGCTGTCAGTAGAATATTTTTAACAGCTGTCGGACGAGTGGCTTAGTAATGACAGCAGTCTGAAGTTGGTTGCAGTTTTTCTCATCTCACCCTGTATATGTAAGACTAGCAAATGCCCGCTATTTCGCCAGCGAAAAGTCCACGCTAAAATTTTAAATTCGTTTCAACAGTTCGTCTAAGGCCTTTTTAGTACTCAAAATGTACAATTTGCCCAATTTGACAGCATTTTTTAATCAAAACTTCACACATTGTTGTAAATTTTCCGACTTTAAAGGTTTTATATATTATTCACTTTTTTTCCTTTTTCGGAAGAAATAGTCGGAAAATGTTTACCTTTTACTCCATCCCAAGCCCCAATCCCAAATATACCAACACCTAATGTTAAATTATGACATTTTCCACTTTTTTTATGTATTACTAAAATCACTCCTTTTCTCACCAACATACACCAACAGCGACGTCCATATCAAATTTCAGGGTTCCAGCTTTATCCCTTTACCCAGTACCAAATTTAGTACAAATTGGTACTTTTCGTTTTCTAGTACCATTTAGTATTTTTCGCATAATCATGGTATACATTTCCAAACTACCTCCATATCTCAATCCTAGGCACCAACAGAGACCTCGATATCAAATGTCGGGATTGTAGCTCCACCCCTTTACCTAACGGCAAATTTAGTACCATTTAGTAATTTTCGTACAAATATAGGACGCATTTTTAAATCATCGCCAAATCCCAAACACAAATACCACCAGTAATTTAAATATCAAGTTTCGAGGGTGTACGTCGTTTCCATCCACCAAAATTTAGTACCAATTAGTACTTTTCGTACAATTATAGACGCAATTGTGGTTCTACCCCTTTACCCAACGCTAAATTTAGTACTTTCCGTAAAAATATAGGACAAATTTCCAAACCACCTCCTTCTCTCAATCCCAGATACCTCAACATCAAATTTGGGAATTGGATGCCTTCACCCAATACCAAATTTAGTACCATTTAGTACTTTTCGTACAAATATAGGACGCATTTCCAAATCAACACCAAACCTCAATCACAGATACCATCAATAATTTAAACACCAAATCTTATCTCCATACCTTCACCCAATACCATATATAGTACCGTTCAGTACTTTTCGTACAATTATCACCATATATCAATTACAGATACAAACCGGGGCCTCAAAATAAAATTTCGGGAGTGTAGCTCGATCCCTTCACCCAATGTAAAATTAAATTAAATTGTACCTTTCGTACAATTATAGTCGCATTTCCGAAACCATCTCCATATATCTAGGCTACACGTGACTAGCAACGCTTTTATCAAAAATCAGATTTCAAGCAATATATATATATAACCAAATCATACCAAATATAGTACTACTTAGTACTTTTGCTGTACCTGCAGTACACATTCCTCAAACCACCTCTTTATCACAAACCTACCTCCAATAGGCTACCCAATAGAAAATTTCAAATTTCCAGTTTCATCCGTTCACCCTAAACAAAACTGTTCCAAATTTAGTACCATTTCGCATACTTAGTAGATATTTTCAAAACAACCTTCGTATACCAGAACTTACTTTCCATCCTTGATTCGCATACCAAATTTCAAGTTTTTAGCTTTGTAAGTTCACTTTATGCCAAATAGTACCAATTTAGAGGTTTAGTATCATTTTAGAACTTCTTCAAACCTAAAAGTTCGAAATTCCAAATACCCTTTGGTACATTTATCCTGCTTTCCATCAGTAAATCTCTTTCCATATTTTAGAATTCTGGCGCGGTCCCTTTGTAAAATATTATATTTTTAGCATAAGTTTAGTACTTTTCGTACCATTGCCACACACGCAGCCTTATCACACACCTACGTACCTAGACTGACATTCGTGAAAAATTTCCAGATTCCAGATTCATTCATTCATTCTCTAGTCTGGGCATTGATTCTCGATTAGTCAATTATTTCACTAGATTTTTGTATTATAGACAGAATATCCTCTATACACCGAAAAAAATATCTTTAGCAAAGACAAAAGAAAATATCATCAATCTATTTTATTGTCACAGAAGCCCCTCTGTATATGGACAGCCCATAGAAGGGGCCCTATCTGAAGTAGACCTATAAAATATTCTCTCCTATATAATATATGGAAGCTAATCTATCAACAGATTCCATTTAAAAATGTAATCTACTACAGAGCGTCTACGGAACGTCCTCTTTAGAAACAAAATAAAAGCCCCCTCATAAACCTATACTAAGTCCGCTATTTTTAAAAATTTAATATGTTTTTTTCCGAAAGATAGCCATCAACAAAATGAAGCGTCCTCTATAGGTAGATGTCCCATACGTCATGTGCCTTAAGAAGAAGACAGATTCTTATAGGGCTTTTGTTGATTAATATTATTGTCGGCGGCGATAAAGTCCGCCAAACAATTTTTTTTTGAAAATCAACTGATTTGTACCCTCAGCCTTATGACTACAGAGGACATTTGGAGTCTATCTAGAGGCGTCCGTCCGTCTCTCTGTCTGGCTGTACATCGTAATATTTTTTTAAAACTTGGATCGAGCTCGGATATGGGCAATATCGGTCCACCCCTTCTGGTACCTCCCTAACAATAGGTAGTAAATTTCAATGAAAACAACATACCGTATAAAACAAGAAAATATCATCCAATTATGTTCAAACTTTGCAAGTCCCAATATTGTTAAAATTCGAGTTCGAATATCTTAAAATTTCGTTCATCTACCCTTGTAACTTCCCCACAACGGGTCAAAATTTTGAATAACTATATAAACAATAATAATTTTCCTTTCAAACTCGGCACATGCTAATATTTCTATCAATCCAAGATCTTGTCTGAAGACGCAGTATATCAGTCTAACCATTCTCTCCACAAAGGGTCACAAAAGTAATCGTTCTATCAGAAAGTGGTATAAATTTTACGACTGGCCCCTAATGTCTTAATTATAGCCTAAAAATATCTTTTAGATCAAAACAACAACAACAAACATTTTTTCATGCTTTTATTCTCATTAACGTAATGTTGGTCATCTACCCTTTCAGACTCTCATTAAGAAAATCAAGGATATTCATGACATTTGTAAAAACGGCAGGTTTAATTTCATCCTCATCATCATGGTTCAGTGAAACAATGCCACATAGTTCGCCAGCAAAAATCCCTGGGCCACCTCCATCAATTTCGGACACATCATGATTACCATCAAAGGCACACAGGATATCATTACTCTTTCCACCCTTGCTTGGGCACAACTCCTTGGCCAAAACTGGAATACGAATGGTACTGAGGACATTTTTTTCTGGTTCCGGATCATCTTCGTAGATTTCATCCCATCCCGATATTTGCAACAAATCTCCCGATTGCAAAGGTTCCGAGCAGAGATAAGTGTTGCGTATGTTGCGACCCTTTGGAAGAGGCGAATTTAATTTCAAAACCGCCACATTATTGCCCAAGGGATTTGTGGCATCGAATTCGGGATGCAGAGTTAACCTGGCAATGCTGCGTGAAACACCTTCCTCGGAGAGGGAACTGGCTCCAGCCACCACCTTGATGTGGTGATAATCACGATCCAAGAAACAATGAGCCGCACTTACCACAAAGTTCATGGCGACCAGGGTGCCACTGCAAAACGTCTCACCCTGCTCATTTCGAAGTTGCACCAAATAAGGAGCTTTGTCGATCGCTATAATGTCGCCATTGATAATGCGAGATGTGCCAATTTTCGTTGCCCTTCTCGCCAGAGCTGAGGTTAGGAAAAATGTACAAATTAGAAATATTTTAATGCTCATCCTCTTGGTGGTGTTTGAAAGACTGCAATGTGGAACGGTAACTTCGGCGAAGATTATTTTGATTAAGATTTGAGAATCAGTTGTTTAAATATTTGAAATGCATTTCGTTTGTCTAAATAAAATATATTGTTTTTATGGTGGAGAACATCATAGCCGAATATTTTGTTTCATATTTAAATATAAAATTGGTACAGTCGGGCAGGGTCGACCACTTTATACCCTATAACACTATAAGTTGCGGTAAATAGTAAGTTGTGTAAAAAGTAATGGGTTCTTTTCTTCTGTAGAGCCTTCCAAAATTGACATCGCAAAGTAACCTATAGAGAGGCAGCAAGTTCCCCTATTCCATGTTTTCATATCCTACAACACTATGTGTTGGGGGTATTATAAGTTTGATTGGGTCAAAAATTATGTAACACCTCGAAATAGGAAACTATCTCGCCGAGCTGAGTCGATCTAGCAATGTATGTCCGTCCGTCTGTTCATGTTAATTTGTAAGCACTCTACAGGTCTCCATCATGGCCTGATTCTCACGAAACTGAAAATGTAGGTGGGTTTAGGGTCAAAATAGAAACCTATTGTTTTTTGAGATGATTGCACAATATTTAGGGGTTGAAATAATCCAATACAGAAAAATGTCTGATTTTGCAGTTGCTCTACAGGTCGCAATTATAGACCAATCGACCTGGAATCTAGCATGGGGCTAGAGTATAGTCAGAAGAATGGATACCTATCAGCATGACATGAAGTGTAACTATAAGGAAAATATCGCCTGTAAAAAAAACAAAGGTAAAATTTGTGCGGGACAGCACCTCATTATTTTAAATAATGGACTAAAATGTGATTGGACCCTAGGAGGTTTTCCAATATATTATAGTGTTGTAGGACATAAGACGCACGAATATAGCCTTTGCAGGGTGAGATAAAAACAGCAACAAAGTCAAACGCCATAATTTTGAATTTTACTGAATGAAAGCAAAAAAAGTCGGAAATAGCATCAATTTTTAGAATAAGTTTTGATTTGTTCGGATTGGTCACCTTTGGCACGAGTTATGGCCTTCAAACAGCCAATGAAACCGTCACACGCTGCCCGAATGTTGCTCTGCCGTATTTTGGCCCATTCCAGGCGAAGCGCTTGCTTGAGGTGATCGATACTTGCTTTCCATAATACTGCAGACACAATAGTCCAATGGATTGGTATCCGGAGATTATGGTGGCCAATGTGCGCTGGAAATGATGCGAGGAACCTCATTTTGTAACCATTCGAGTGCGATGGTGCTGAGTCCTGTTGGAATGTCCAAGGTCTGCGGCCAGAAGGTTTGCGTGCTCAAGGCTTTAATACACCCTCCAGAATATTTGGGTGACCAATCCCGTGCTGTATGGAGCAAAAACTGGTAGAAGTTTCGACCACGCAATCTGACCGGAGACTATTCTGGTGCCGTGGGTGTCAGGAGCCCCTAGATCTGTTGATCTAGCCTGACTATGGAGAGGCCCCTGTTTAGGGTGCAGGACGGTGGTTGTTGTTTATACTCAAATCGCGGGTAGAGCTTCGGCTCGATGTGTTGTTGCATTCTCAACCGGGTGCTGCGTCCCATAGAGCAGCAGAGGTGTAAGATAGTCCTAAACCCCTTACCAATAGGGAAGGGAAGCCCATATAGCTGCGGAATAGACCTAGAACTCTGTGGAGGGCTACCACTCTCGCAGAGAACTCTGGGTAATTCCAAAGGGACGCTAGCCGAAGCATCGAATCACGACCCCTGTACAATGGTGCATCATGGTGGAAGTCGTCAAGGTGATAATCATGTAAAACACCCCGGCATCACCCTCCAGAATATTTTCGCGATAATATTCGGCATTTATTCTGATGCCACAGTCGATTAATACGAGCGGAGAGCGACCATCGGCCGTTTTGGCGGCCCACACCATCATCATAGTCGGAGCTTGAGTTCTGGTGGCCAAGCGAAAGTGCACATTTTTAGCTGACATCTTTTGCATTTTTTTCATCTCACCAAACATAGGGACTCCAATACTTCAAAAATTTTGGAAAATGGGTACACCGTTTTAGAGCGCTTTGAGATGTTGACTTCCAAAACGCCAATAAATCTGTCTTCCTTTTCTAGTTCTAGTTTTGCTAGCCTTACATAGCCTTACCATACCCAAATCGAAGTAGAATAATCCGAAAAATATTGACAAGGGGGGGGGGGGGGGGGGGGGGTGGTACTTAGCCTTTTTTCTTAGGATATTTAGAGATATAGGCTTTCGGAACGCCTTCTATAGTTCCATTTTCATAATCGCTTCGTCTGATATCTGATTCAGGATTTAAACATTTTTTTTTGAATTTGTCGGGGAATAAACAGATATTTTCGCCGATATTTTAAATTTGCGCAACTGACCTCATTTTTACACAAATATATTGTAGGGTATCTACAGATCCACTCAATTCTCAATATACCCTTAAATATTTATTTTAAACAACATAAAAGTACGCCAAAAAATACAAAACAATGAATATTTTTTTCTTTTAAAAATATAAACAATTTTTTTTTGGATTCTTGGTGTTTTGACGGGAAGTCACAGGTGTTTTGAAGTCAGAATATCATACAACTCGCATCGAAAAACAACAACCCCCCAATCGCTAAATAACGAATCTTCATTTCTGTATTTGTGCTTGAAAATGCGTTTACTTGGAGTATCGCTTTCTGTGGCTGTTCTCTTAGTCCTCTGCTCAGCCACTCACGCTGTGTGGAGACCGCCAAAAGTTCGCCTGGTAAATGGTTATACCATTCCCATTGAACAGGCTCCCTATATTGTACAGCTAAGGAATACCACAAACACTCACTTCTGTAGCGGCACATTGGTAACGCCAAAACATGTGGTGACCGCCGCCCACTGCTTTGAAGAAAATAGTACCAAAGGTGTTACAATTGTGGCTGGAGCCAATACTCCCAAGGAGTTCGGAATTCAAAAAGATGTTGTAAAGGTAACCATACATCCCAAATATGATGCCACAACCTACGACATGGATGTGGCTGTTTTGGAATTAAATGAACCAATAACTGAAGAGAATCGGGTTCGTACAATCCCATTGTGCAGTGATCCAATAAGGCCTGGAGATGTAATTGATGTCCCTGGTTGGGATACCCCCACCAAAGATTATAAATTTAACTCCAATAGCTTACATACTGTTCGTCTGAATGTTATATCTGAAGCAGCTTGCACCTATAGATTGGCCCATGACCCCTATGGTTTGGATAAATCAATGTTTTGCGCCTTGACCTCGGAGAAGGAGGTTTGCAGTGGTGATGATGGTGGTCCAGCCGTCAGAGATGGTGAATTGTGTGGCATTATTTCATGGGGTCATGGTTGTGCTGAAGATTATGCCGCCGGGGTGTTTATCAATATCAATTTGGTGCGTGATTTCATTGAGGCAAATTTGAAAATGTAAAATTCAAAATTAAAATGTATTTAAAGTGAAATGCAATATCAGAATTTTGTGTGAGTTTTAAGGAGATGGGGTGTAGGAGGAGCAGTGGGTCAAAAAACAAAAAAATGATTAAAACGTAATACGTAGGATGAATTTTTTTCCGAAAAAGAGGGCCGATATTATCTATCTCCGACCGATATAAGATATTGCCATGTTCCAAATGTGGACAAAGTAGGATTCGCCCTTTCAGAGTTATCGAGAGCAGAGAAAGAGAGAGAGAGAGAGGGATAGAGAGAGAGAAAACACCTCTAAAGCGACTCCAAATTTCCTGAATCTAATTTCGACAACACGTATTTCGAGTAGACATATTTTGACCGTATCAAATATTATATTAGCCCCTGTAGCCATTTGGCTAAGGGTATTTTGATCTGCAGAGGAGCTGTAAAATACTGTATGTGGAAGACCTCTTCTATCTATGGGGACCTCTCAAATGTCTAGAGAACCTCAAAATCTCCAACTTAAAAAAGACAAGCAAAAAAATGTCAGTCGGTTTTGCCGACCGATGTATACCTTGGGAGAGGTACCAGAGGAAGTGGTCCGATCACTACAATCTTTATCATGTTTTGATCGAAATATTGAGATGTGCCTCTTCTGAATAAAATCGAATGTTAATTTCGTGTTTTATGATCTTCATTGACATTCAAAATATTGGCTCTCTTTGGGGAGGTACCAGAAGGAGTGAACCGATATATCCCGTTCTGACGACAGATATTGTGTTAGTAGAAATAATGGGATGTCTGAATTTCAAGATAATTGAATGCCTTTTTCGGATTTCATAATCGTTTTGGTTATTCAAACTTTAACACTTCGCGGGCAAGGTACCTGAAGGAATGCTCCGATCTTTAGCATCGTCATAACAGATCTTGTGCTGATAGAAATTTTGGGACGTGCCAAGTCTGAATAGAATTGGATATTAATTTCGCGTTTTATGAGCTTCATGGATACTCAAAATTTTAACCCTTTGTGTGGGGAAGTACCAGAAGTAATGGACCGATATATCCCATATTCACAGCAGATCTTGTATTAGTAGAACTAACGGTATGTGTGAAATACGAAGAGAACCAGATGCGCATTTCGAATTTTATAATCGTTTTGGATATTCAAAACTTCGACCCTTTTGTGGGAGAGGTACCAGAAGAATGGTCCGATCTCTACAATCTTTATAACAGATCTTTTGCTGATAGGAATATTGAGATGTACGAAGTCTGAAGGGAATAAGATTTTAGTTTCGCGTTTTATGAGCTTCATGGATATTAAAAATGTTCACCCCTTGCGGGGGAGGTACTAGAAGGAGTGAACCGATACCTTCCATCTTCACACCAGATCTTGGGTTAATAAAAATATTGGGATGTGTGTAATTTGAAAACAATCGGACTCTTACATCACATTATATAAGAGTTGTAATTATTCACAATTTTCACCCTTTGTGAGGGAGGTACTTGATGGAGTGGACCGATATTGTCCATTTTCGCAACTGACCTAGCACTGACGCAAATATTAGGATATGCAAAGTCGGAGCAAAATCGGACTATTCTTTCTCCTTCAATGC